GGGTTTATACAAGTAATGCTTTTTTCGCCTGTGGTTGGTTCACCTTTAAGGCATTTGTAAAAAAAAAAAAAATAGTTGGGAATTGTGATGGGGAAAAATGCTGTAGCATATCAGTCTTTCCTTGCAGCCAGTCCCTAAGGCACTGTGGAATGCCCACGTGGGAGTGCCCGAGAGGGCTGCCGATGGTGGCAGAACTGAATGAACTTATCTATTTGCATTGCTCAATTTCAGTAGCAGGAAGTATAGTACAACATAAATTGAACTGTTCATAATCTTTCAGATTTAACCTATAAGCAGAAAATGTGTTTTTTTTTCTTCAGAAAATGTGTTTTTAAAAAAATAAAAAAATAAATATTCAAATGAAGATCTGTTTCAGAAACATATGCCATTCACATCAAGAATATATTTTAATTTAAATATTTAATTTTTTGCCCTTTAAAACCAAATATCTCTGAATATCTGATTTGGGGATTTCTTTTCACTTGTCCCCAGACAGCTTCTTTCACCAGTGAATTTTTAGAAACAATCTACTAGCATGGCTTTTTAGTGTGTTCTGTACTAAAACTTCACCTGTCTTCAACAAAATGCTCCTTTTTCTTATTCTGCCCAAAGTTTGCAAGGGCCCTCAGATTTGAGCATACTGCACTGTCTCTTGAAGGGCTTTGTTTTTTTGTGTGGTACTAGGTTTTGAACCAGGGTCTTTGCATTGATACATATCCTGAGCCTTTTTCATTTTTTTTTTTTTTGGCACCGGGGATTGAACTCAGGTCCTTGTGCTTGTGCAGCAGGCAGCGAAACCACTGAGCTAAATCCCTGGCCCTTTTTAAAAATTTTTGAGTCCGGGTCTAGGTAAATTGCTCACACTGAGCTGAAACTTACAATCTTTCTCTTTCAGCCTCCCAGAGTGCTTGGATTATGGGCGTGTGTCTCCATACCCAGCTCTGGGGGGCTTATTAAAACAGAGATTGCTGGTCACCTCCGATAGTGTCTGACTCAGTAAGCTTGGGGTTGGTGTGGAAATTTGCATTTCCAAAAGTTCTTAGGTGGTGCTTAAGCTTGTGTCCCTATTTGGAGAAGCACTCCTCTGGATAAAATATCATATGAGATGATAGCAGCATGGTCTCAGGTGCTTGGAGTGGTGAAGGAGAGAAGTGGATGAATTTGACTAGATTTAGGAAGCCAATCAGCAGGGCTTATCCATGGTTCAGCCGGGAAGAATGGTTCAGATGGGTTGGTAGCTTGAATGAATGCAGAGATGTGTGTAACAGAGGGAAGGAGCTGGGTGGGAGTGTTCAACATGGTGCGAAATTTTACCTTCCATTTTGGGAATGTTAAAGCTTTGATGGATTTTAAGAATTCAAGCACAATGCCTAGCAGAGAGTAGGTTTTCAATAAGTGGCAGCCATTGTTATTGCTGTGGTTACTTAACTGCACTAAAAACTGAAGAGGCCTTACTACCGGGCCTTACCTCTCCAGAGGCAAACTCCTATCTGCATTATTCATTATCCACATTCCAGGGCTTGCAACCACTCCCTTGTGTGATCCAAGAGAAAGGAACAAGGAAACTTCCTCTGTAAAGATGTAGCCTCACAGGATGAACCAGTGGGGAAGGAAAAACAAAGGGGAAAAGGAGGCTTGGATCTAATTGTAGAGGTTCTTGCCTGATCACAGACAATTTTGTAACTATGTGAAATGCAAAGAATTTACCCATTTTAAAGATTAAGAAGTAATTTACAGATGTCTTACAGAGCTCCAGTAAAAATTTAAACCTAGCTTTTTCTTGTCCCCATTGTATTTATGCGTTCTACTATGCATTTGTGCATACTGCCAAACAATAGACCTTTCTTTTACTGGCATACTGACCTATGCAGGCCAAGCTTTTAGAGAAGTGGCTTTTAAACTTTTGTAATTCTGACCCACAGTAGGAGCAACTTTTTCGTTTCAGTACTGGGGACTGAAATCTGGGACTTAACGCTGAGTTACTTCCCCAGCCTCCCCCAGTTTAAAATTTAAAAATTTTGTGTCTATCTAAACTAAGTTGTCCAGGATGGGCTGACATTTTTGATCTTCCTGCCTCTGCTTCCTAGAATGCTGGGATTACACATGTACACCATCAAGCCCTACAAGAACGACTTTTTACAAAGCAAGCCGGTATAAACGTGTCTCACTGTATATGTATTTGTGTGGGTGTACATGTTTATATGTGTTGTACACTGATATGTGCAATAATATGATAGGGACTAATATTCAATAATCAGTATTTACTAGATGTCTGCATTATCAATATTCTCAGTGAATGCATTCGGATCGTTTTCTGTTCATCTGTTATGCTAAACATTTATCAGGACCCACAGAATTGATTTCACTATTCCACAGAGGTGAAGGAAAGCCCTGGTGGAAAGGGGGAAGGGGAGAGAGGATGTCTGTATGCTCATTTTCAGTGGGTTATCTGCACTTGCCTGCTTGCAGAGGTTTGTGGGAATCAAACGTAGTACAATACAGATCAAAGAAACTTAAAAAGAGAATCAGCTTGTCCTTTGGTTTTGCTCACATAGCAGTGTTCACATGGACCAATCATTCACATTCTCAGTTGCTTATATCTTCATCTGGAAAAGAGGAATTTGACCTCTATTCTCCTCAAGGACCTTCTCCACCTCCATCCATGGGACAGAATTCCCTGGCAACTGATCCTCCCGGCGACTCTGTGGATAGTGGTAGTGATGATGATGAGGACGAGGGTGGCAGTGATTCTCTTATAAGGAAAAGGAAGCTATTTCCTATGGAATTTTAGAAGACAAGCCTCAATCTTGGGGACAGTAATCAGTCTCATTTTCATTTAATATAGGGAAGCTGGTAAGTACCAAAGCTGCTAAGTTCAACTTCATTTTTTAAAACGATCAACAAAATTATTCATGTTCCAGAAGTAGGAAAGTAACTTCAGGGAGTACAATAAACAAAATTTCACCCTATAAGCATTAACACTTTCTCCCAAATGTTTTTATGTGTTATTTCCTCAGCTGTTCATTAGGGAGCATCAGGAAAAGAAGCTTAAGTTTCTGGAGTATCTAGGGTATAAATACCTATGATATTCCAATATTTAGGGTATTAATATCTACAAGTACCAAAATGGTGGGTAAGGTTCATGTGTGTGTGTGTGTGTGTGTGTGCGCACGCGCGCCCGTGTGTGTTGTCCCTAAACTGAACCTATCTTTAGATGACTTCAGAACACTCCACCACCACTGAGGGGATGGGTAGCAATTAGCATGGCCTTGCCTCAGATTGGACAGGGAAACTGTGGCATCAAAAGGTCAAATGCTTTGCCCCAGGTCTTCTGAGTCAGGAGGAAAACACTCCTGATTGGTGCTGAAGAGTCAGCCTTGCTCCCAACCCCCGCCCCACTGCCATCCCTTCGTAATGCCCTAAAGTAATTATGAAGGAGCTGCCTCTGGTTGGAAGCTGGATGGTACTCTACACATTTCCGAATTTGAAAAAGTACCACAGGGCTAGTCTCAGTTGTCCAATATACCAGTGAACTGAACTGTAAAGGCTAGGCTATTTACTTTCTGTCGCCATTTACTTATTTTCCTGTCTTTACAGAAATTCCTTTTTTTAAAAGAGCTGGGAATTGTGGCGCAACCCTGTAATCCAGAGGCTGAGGCTGGAGGATCGCTGAGTCTGAGGCCAGCCTTGGCTACACAGCCAGACCCTGCCTGAAAAAAGCAACAAAACAAAACAAAAGAAAGACAACACACACACACACACACAGACACACACACACACACACAAAGGAAAAAAACCAAACAGAATCTTCTGTCCAAAGTAAAGGCTGTCTCCCTGGGGCACCTCATCTGGTTTGTCCCCCTCCCCAACTCTTTAACAAGGGGTAGATTCCTTCTGGGTCCTTAACAACTGACTGTTTCACAAAGTGATCAGTCACCAAATCAAATGTGACAAGTATTGTGATCTCCCAGGGAAAATTCTCTCCCTGGGTTTAAAGGAATCACAAAAGGAAAACTAACCTCTGCAGGGCTATTTCCCTCATAAAATAAATCCTTCAAGGGTCTTCCACTTGCAAAAACACACACAGGGCCCAAGCATACTTGGGCTGAGAGCTACAACCTAGCCCTTGGCTGCGTCCTTGAGGTAAAGAACACCCAGACCCAGGGCGCCTGGCCCCTAATGAGCGGAAAGCCCGGCAGTGCACAGCACTGGGGAAGCTCAGGAGACAAAATGCCTCATTCCAAAGTGGATGCAAACAATGGCTCGTGCCCAAGCCGTCACACTTGTTTTTCAGCGAAGTCTTGGCTGACAAAGGCAGGGTTGTAGTTCCTTGGGTCGCTCGACTTCCCCAAGGGCGAGGTGTGCATTGTGCCCACACTGACTACTTGTGAAGCTTAAAAATTAACTTTCTGGGACCAAAACTGTGTCTGTGAATGGCGTGATTGGAAACTTGTGCAGGCCCAGGCCGAGGCGCGGCTGCTCTTTCAACAGGCGATTTGTTCTCCGGTCCGTGGCTCATTTCCATGCAAAGAGCCGGACATCAGAGCACCTTTTGTTGCTAAACGCTTTCTTTAGCCTGGAGGGGAGAGAGTCATGTGGAGCTGGAAGAGCTCATTTTGAAGAGAGGGGTCCCGGGAGTTGCTCGCGCGGTCCCCAGGCGCCGCCGTCCCCCAGCTGGGCCCTGCTGGGACCGTCCAGCTCGAGGAGTCGCGTGCCACGGCTCCAGGTCCCCAGCAGCAGGAAGCGACGCCTCTGCACTGGGCTTCAGCGCTGCTGGGTTTGGGAGGTTCCCGCCGCGGCAGCAGTGGTGCGGACTTTGCTCCTGCTGCCCTGGTGCCGCTCCGACCCGGCTGGGAAAGTTTCTGGAGTTGTCAGCCGCGCCGCCCGCCGCCACCTCGAGCCCAGGCCGGGGCGGGCGAGGAGCCTCGGGCCGCCCGGGCATGCGGCGTGGGGGCGCGGCTCGGTGACGCCGCGGGCGGGGACGCGGGGCCGAGCCGGGGCGCAGCGAGGACGCGAGCGCACGGCGCGCGGGACCGGCCATGGAGCAGGACGCGGGCGCGGGTGGCCCGGCGCAGGACCCCGAGCCCGACCCCGAGCCGGACGCGGGTTCGTCCGAGGCGTTCTCCAGACTCTGGGCCGACGTCATGGGCATCCTGGTGAGTTACCTGGGGAGCAGGCGCTGGAACTGGAGTTCGCTTCTCGCCCATCCCCTGGGCACCCCTGTCTCATCCGAGGCGCCCTTCTCTTGCTCCAGGCCTTTAGGGGGTTAAATACACACGGTATAGGGTTTCCAGCCCTAATTAAAAAATAACCAGCCGCGTTTCACGTCCAGGATACTTTTAAATAAACAATCGCTTGTACTATTTAGTAGTTTAATCTGGGACACCTGCTGAGAAGTTGGTGTAGAAAAGACAAGACAGAGTCCTTCAAAGGGTAAATGTGAAACCTGGTTGTAAATATTTGTCGACGGACGTCTCGCTGTTGGATCTGAAAGAGGCTGGTGGTCCTGATGTTGATCTCGTCACCATTTGTCGTAGGTGCTTTGGGAAGAAAACAACCATTTCTTCACTCGAACCGCCAGAATGTTTACTTACTCTTTGCAGTTCTAGCCAATTTGTAGAATTACAGGCTCCTGTATTTGTCATGTATGTCCAGGACTAAAAACAGTAGGATTTGTTTTACCTAATCTGTACTGTCAAGTATTTTGAAATGTCCAGTGACCAAAACCGCCCGTGGGTTTGGCATGTTTCTGGAAAAAAGCTCTTACACATGGAGGATGAAGCTTTAACTGCTCAGAGCTTAATACTTTGGGCAGTCAGTGGATGTCTTTTTGGCAGAGCAGTGGTTAGGTTAGCTAGAAGCAGAGGGGTGGGGGTTATTACAGTCAGACATCTTCACCCACACATCAAAAGACAACTTTAGTGCAAGACTTGGAATTGCTAGATGTGTAGGTAATTGGAAACGACTAGTTTGCTTTGAGATACAGTATTTTCTTTTTCGAATGGGAAGAGACATAGTTTTTAGAAAGAATCTCTTCTTTGGGGATGATAAACTGTTCAGTTTGTACCATGGTGGTTAGGCTCTTGGTGTTGAAGAGTTGGACTGCATCACATCCATGCTGTCCAACTGACTGTTGGCAGAGTTACTCAACGCTTTTGATCCTTGGGGTTTCAGCTTCCTGAATGCTGGGTGCCACCACACCCAGTGATCCTGTTTCATCCCCTGAAAATTGAGGCAAGGACGCACCTTAGCCAAATGGATGTGTATCAAGTGCTCAGCATACTGCCTGTATGTAACAGGTGCTCAGTTAATGTAGTTCTATTTTTTTCCTGCACGTAGAATTGTATAGGTGTTTTTTTTTCAAATAACCTTAGCTGCAATCCCAGTTATTCCATTTCTAGGTGTTCATTGGTATTTATGATCACTACTGTACAGAGAACCAGAAAAGTTGGTTTAAAATTTCTGTCTGCTCTTCTTACTTTCAATATTTAAAAAATATGTGACAAACTATATTTTTACCTACAATATACACTTTGTATATGTAGGTAGTATATGTACCGTATATATTTTGAATTTAAAAGCTTCTGTTTCTGCACTTTCTAAACTTTCTGGATAAATAAATTCCTAGACTGAAATTCCAGAAAACCCAATGAACGTTTTATAGTCAGAGTGTTTTTAAAGTTCATCAAGCAAGAAGCTTGTTATTTTCATGCAGAGATGATGTGCTGTTAAGTTTTCAATCATTGAAAACGTGATTTGATACATTGCAGTGCATCCCTTACTAGGGTGTGGGCTGGAGGTGCTGACTTAAATGAAAAGTTGAGCTGAGGGCTGTTTAGGGGAGGAGGGCTTGGCAGGTGGCACTTTCTGAATATTTGCTTTCCCTTCCCTGGCAGATTCCAGCACTGTTCGGTCAGTTGTAGCAGAGTGTTCTTTGGCTGAGTTGAAAGACGGGGTGGGGCCCTAGAAGCTCAAACCTGTTATTCAAAGGGCAGATGCAGGAGAAAAGAAAATATGTACTTCTTACTCAGCTACTAGTTCAGTGTGAGGACTCCAAGAGTGAAGCGTGTCCCAAAACAGGTTCTGTTCATTCATGCCTTCCCAGTCTTAAACAGTCTTGTTTTCCTTCAGAGTAAACGTTGGCATTGGGATTGCTCCCTGGTAAAATGTGGAGAAAGAAGACATAGCTTGCTTCCCTTTATACATCAGTAGGAAGATATGAGGTGGAGGGGGATGGTCTTCTTTCTAATAGAAAAACGTCCTACAGATGTTTATAAAAACTGGAGCTTTGGAAGAATTTATCAAGACTCAAAACTGATGGTTGACACCATTTCCTCCATTTGTATTTAAAATGTGGGATTCTGCAGTCATCTGTCAGCCTGGACAGGGGAAGAGATTGACCAGTAGCAGACACTTGGTTAGTGACAGTGTCAGAGCTGGTCTCAGTGGCCTGACCCCACCAGCCTGGAGCCTGAGGCCCTGACTCTGTGGTTAGTTAACTCTCTCAGGCCAACTCGGTGGTGGAACCACATCCAAGGGGGTGGGGAGATAGTCCAGGCCTTATACCCCCAAACACCATACTTGAGAGATTCAAGGTACGCAGTTGCTACTTTCTAAGATTCTAAGTGTGACAGTCAAACCTTGTGGCCTAGTAGGTCAGAACGTTTTAGGTGAATGACACAGTCCCCTTTTCTGAAGGTGTTAAGCAATAAGAGGTGTTCGTCCCTCAGGGATTTTTTTCCTTTTTAAGTTTTGAGACAGGGTCTTGTGCCCAGGCTGGCCTCAAACAGATACTCTTGTCTCAGCCTCCCAAATGTTGGAATTACAGGCGTGTGTCACCAGAATTCACTTACCCCAGGGAGCCCGGAAAGGTGTTGCCCCAGAATCCTGGCTGTCAATAAATACAGAATAGCTGTTTGAGTTCTCTGGGACACATTTTGTATTTAAATTAATTCAGTCCACACACAGTTAAGCACTAAATAATTACTTTTAGATAATTAAAAAAAATGCTTAGAGGGGCTGGGGATTTAGCTCAATGGTTCCACCGCCTGCCTCGAAAGTTCCCGATTTAGATCCCCAGTCCCGCCCCCCCCCCAAATGCTTAGAGAAGAAATAATAGTTTACAGCCTGTAAATATTTTAACAGTACTAGAATAGACAAGTGACAACAAATCCATATAGAATGAAGAGGAAACAGATTTACAAAGATGTAAGATTGTGAGTCCCTGGAGGGCAGAGTCAGTATCTTTTTTTCTATCTCCGATGCCTGTGGTTTACTGGATATAGATAACATGATTTTGTTGAATGAGAAAGGAAAAAAGTATGTACTTAAATGCAGGAGTCCCATCGAAACACCTTTTAAAGCACTCATATCCGTTGGGATGGGGTGCACTCATGAAGATGTTGGAAGTTCTGGTCTGGCAGTTTCTTCACGCTAACCAAAGTCCTGGCACTTGAAGTGGTGACCGTAGATTGTGAAATGTTTGTGAGCCCAGAGCGACTCAGGCAGTCTGGTGAAATGGGCCATTCTCTTCACTAACTCTGCAACATGTGGTTGGCCTGGGTTTGCAAAGCAAGTCACCTTTCCCTGTGACATGCTTAGATGTCCGCCGAAAAGTTTCAGATTAGTTAGAATCCTATGGGATTTTAGTCTTATCTCCATTCCTTGGTTGCAGTCATTGCATTCCTTTTCTTTTTCTTTTTCCGAGGGAGAGGGCACCATTTTTAAGAGTAGGAATTGCTAAGGTTATAATATGATTAGATATGGAAGATCTTTTTTTAGGACTGATTATCCATGTGGCACACTAGTGGTTCTTTAGCTTCTGCCTCTAGGATTTGAAGACTTACAAAGCTGAGCCGAACCTTTAACTCCTTACTTGTTAACTAGGCAGGGCGTTGGAAGTGCCTACAGTTCTGTTTCCAGGATCCTGCAAGATGCACCTCCCTCAAACCTGAAATTTCCCCTGCTCCTTACTCTGTTCTTACACTTGACATTCATTTCCCGGTAGGGCTTAGAAAATAGCCATTGTATAGACTTGCTCCAAACTTTCTCCTACTCTCAATTCTTTGGAAACTATAGAAAGCTATATGGTAGGCTTCAGGCCACAAAAGTGTCTTATTTAGCCCATCTTTCTGTTTACTCTAGTCCTACAAATAAACCCAAAACCTAACCAGAAGAAACGAAAAACAAGTTTAAAAAAATCCACCCCTCCTTTGTTAGGCATAGTGTGGGGGAAGGGAGATGTTAGGGCGCTCCCAAGGGGGCTTTTAAAATGCTGACTGTTTTGAAAGCAGGGAATGTCTGAGACCTCTTGGGAGGTGTCTAGAGTTAAACCTATCAGTTAATAACTTAATTAATCTTACATGTTGGAATTTGAGTCCGCCCCCGTTTCAAATATTCTCACTTCATCCGAATTTTATGTTCTTTTTAGCCAGCTGAAAGGCTTATGACTTGTATAAGTGGAGACATTGCAGGGTGAGGGCGTGGGAGGACCGCAGGGACCTTGCAAATGAGCCTGAACACTTAGAGAGGAGTCGAAGCCCTCTGGAGGGTAATGACTTGATCAAGGTAACAGAGTAGGGCCAGATCTCTGGTGCCCCAATGTTTAGTTCTTAGTAAAGACAAAGTCGTTGGCTTTCATAGTTCTGGTTGGGGTCACTGCATCCTTTGCTGCCAGACTCCCCTGTACTAAAGGGATCTTCTTTCCTGTTCCCCTCCTCTTTCCCTTCTCCCTTCCCCCAACTCCCTTCCTTAATTCTTCCTTCTTTTTAGTGAACCCTGGGCCTTCACAGTGAGCTGCCCGCCCCCCCTCCCGCCTTGAGACAGGGTCTCTCTTAAGTTGCCCAGGCAGGGCTTTAACTTGTGATACTTCTGCCTCGTCCTCCTGAGCTGCCAGCGTTACAGGCACACCCAGCTTCTCTTTTCCTTTCCTTTTGCTTATAGAACTTTGCCTCTTCTACTCATGTCCTTGGATTTCGCCATAGACCCCAGACTTCTGATGGGAGAAGGTAGGTGTATGGTGGGGTCAGTTAATATTTAAGAGTGTGGAGTCCCAGGGCTATGCTGGGTCTGTGTATCTGTCACTTTGCCTGATCCTCCCAGTAGGTGTGACCAGTGGGTTTTATTGTCTCTATTTTACACTAGAAGTAAATATGTA